CCGGATTCCATGAGAGCCATGTTGATCCAGAACGAAGCCTCATGCATTTAATCTAGTCAGGAGCAACCCTTTGACAAGCAGACACGTTCTACTTCAGAGTCCAACAGGTAACTGGGGTTCAGGAGTTCTGCGGCTGATTCCTGAGATCAGGTGGACCGTTTGCTACTCTTCTGGCAGGAAGGTCTGTTGGTATTTACAGCTCAGTGAACAGTAAGCAGAGAGAGAACACCATCCATCAGCAAAGGAGAACTCATCTGCTACTTGATCTGACATTCTGTTTGCGCTCACACGGTCTCCAGAGAGCAAGGTGCATCCATTTGAATAAACATGGAGATAGGAGGAAGGGGGAAGGGCAAAGCAGGCAAAGAGAGGACTGCAGAAATAAAAAGTAGGAAGAAGAGCTGCTCTAAGAAGAGTAGCTCTCCAGAGTGCTGCCTCCACGTGGGACCACGTGGGACCCTTCGGGGATGTGCAGGAGGCGCCCTTTTAGACAGCTGCCCTTTACAGAGTAATGGCTGCAAGCGGTCATTCCCTTCCACACATGACTGCCACTTAATACAGGCGCTGCACGGCAGTGTGCGGAATCAACACGGGCTTGCTGTGAACCTAAGCTACAAAGGCAGAGACACCCAAGTTACAAAGGCAGGGTCAGCTGGTGGGAGGACACCTCCAGCTTTTGGTGGCAGGTGACGTCTGAAGACCCCCTGCCCCAGCAGGATGGGGTCTGTCCTCAGAATCAGAACCTGCCGTATGGGCTGGGATATTTGTATGAGAAAGGACGTCTTCACCAGGCAAATCCTGCCATTTGTTTTACAGTGGCACCGAGCAAGCGTTTTGGGAAAAAGCACACACCCCAAGAGTCCCATTTTACTGTGTCCATTTATATATAAAGCCAGCAGCTTGCAGGCCACGCCTCAGTGCCACCTTCCAACTCTCTGTCTTCCTAAAAATCCACTTACTGCTCCAGAAACAGACAGCCTGAGTGTGACATCACAGACAACTCAGCACCTCAAATGAGGGTGAACTGTGGTACCTACAGCAACTCCACGAGTTCGTTTTTCATTTTCATCAGGTAGGTAGCCCTAACAGTTGTCATGGCGCCAAGTGGGAAGTCCCTTAAAATGATATTCTGTTGCTTCCACACTTCATAAAATACGATTCTTCAGGAGAGCTCTTTGTAAGGGTTTTGGTAATGAAATAAAATTAATACCTCCTTTTAAAATCTTGATTAGTCTGAATAAAGTGTCCCACAGATTGCAGAAATGATGAGGCCATATTGTAGGTGAGGTCCTGGCCTCCTAATGAGCAGAATTATGTAAATACCATGTATTGAAAAAGGTCACTGATTACTCATGGTGTGTGTAAAATTTTGTTTATGCTGTGTCAATGATCGTTGTTTATTTCTCAGTACTAAAATGTTGTCTGACACACAGCTCCCAAAGGCTAACTCATGATCACCTATGCAAAGGAAACAAAACAAAACAAAAACACCCCAGCAAGCTATGTTCAAAAGAAAATTTTAATCAAGTATTAAGGATCAGGCTTTGAAAATGATGGTCTAATCTGTGGCACCTCTTAAATGGACGGAGGTTTCCCACTATAATGGATGGAGGTTTCCCACTATAACATGCATCAAGCGAAAGAATTTCAAAGGTCAGTCTCCCTGCAACGTTCTTAGCCTGATGTGGGTGTTAATACTTTGTTCTGAGCAGCGTCTACCATTCAGTCCTTTGTCATATAACTTCACTTACTATTTATATATGGAAGCGTATTCCTTCCAATCAGTACGTCACAACACACAGTTGAGAATACAGGCTCAAAGGAATGGCTCTTTGCTCTTCTGGAAATGCTGATTTAAAAGGGTCTGGAGAAATCTGAATATCAATATTCTTTCTCTCAATCCAACAGGAGCTATTAAACCCCAGACCCCATTAGGAAATCATCAAATTCTCACAGGGCAATCACCCATGCAGAACTCTAATTTCATTATCCAGGTGAAATAAAACAGCATCTAAATTAATTCATACATATGGCCTGATAGCTTGGTCACCAATCACACTACACAGGGAAGTCCAAAAGTGCTTTCTGCAAATGCCACCCAGATTTTTGGGCCCCACCCCACCCACAGTACAGGTCTCCTGACTCAAGTAACTCTCAGTCAAGTGGCGATTGGGAAAATCATCTCTGCAAGGGAGGACTCAAAAGAATTTGTCACTAGGATACAGTGACACCAATCCCACATTTTGTGGTTAATAAAACAAGTCCTGCATCCAGCTTGGCACAAGGCCCTGATCTAATTTATTTTGAGCCAAGCTGGAGGGCTCACAGAAAAAGCTACCATTCATGAATGCTTCAGGAGGACAGGATGGCAGGGTCCCTTGAGGCAAAATTTACATGGCCAGAAATCTTTTTCACTGACCTTTTGAACAAACCTAGCCTATTTCCTAAAGAGTTGGTGTATTTTTAAAAAAATTTAATAGTTTTGCCTACGAAATCTCAGTTTTGTCTGACATTTTTCTCCAAAAATATGTCCTGTGGGAGTAAGACAAGTGGGGAGTAGGGGGTACAGGGGGAAGAGAAGAAATGCTCTGATATCTGATTTAACCATCTCAAACATCAAAGGCTTGACTTTTCCCCCCTTCTCAGTGTAACTAAACATGAGACACATAAGACTTTCCCCGGAAAAGCCTACATGCAGCCTTCATTTAAGATTTCCTGCCCCAGTATATAATTAGGAATTTTCATTCTAAAATGGCACACCTATTTCCTCGGAGAACTCAGCTCTCTTTGAATAAAAAAGGCGACGTACCCTTTGGGGGACTCGGTATGTATTTTTAAACTTCTTATTAAATCAACCTAATTTATGGGACATGTTCGGGAAAAAAAAGCAGGTAAGGAGTTGCCTTGCTGGATGGAAAGTTAATTTGCAGACTCCCCCCACCCCCTTCCCCGAGCCTTTCCGAATGCCTCCGGCCCCCTCCGAAGCGGCTCGGTTCTCTCCGCCGGAGGCCCGACTCCGTTCCGAACACTGCCGAATCCCTCCGAGCCCCGCGCCCAGTCCGCACCGAGCCTAGCCGAGCGCCACCGAGCAGAGCCCCATCGACTTTTCCGGCCTCAGCTGGGCGCTGTCCACCACTCGCAACGCCTGAAACCTCACCCAGCCCCGGTGGCAGGGGCTTCTACCCGGCTTTGAGGCCGCCACTGCAGATTACAGACTTCAGAAGTTTTGAAACATCCCCCTCTGGGAGAGAGGGGTGGCGCTGCTTGCATTTACCGACCTGCAAGGGCTCCAGGCAGATGCAACATGCACCTTGTTGCAAAGAGCAATTCCCCAGGCCCCGCCTCCCCATCCATTTGGGCTGCACAAGCTCCAGAGAAGCCCCAGGCCAAATTACCCATGGCTCAGAGGGGTGCGGCGAGCCGAGGGGGCCTCTGCAAAGAAAGCCCCAGGGAGCTCTCGAACGAAAATAAGAATATGTCAGGCAGACGTGGGGAAATTGTCTCTGAGTCGCTACTCCCTACCATCATGGCGCCGCCTAGAACCCGCTTGTCATGCCTGTTACACATGCAAGATTTTTTGCATCTTGGTTCTGAAACCGCAAGCATGCTTCGTCTCCCACCCACCTTTCCGCGAAAGGGGTTTTTATTTTCCATTGTTTTCCTGCGGGATGCAATTACTTCAGCTATTCTGTCAAGTTGAAAAATAATCATTTTTGTTTACTGCACAGCAACCCCTAATTAGGAGCTGTGTGTGCACGAAGGTGTCACAGCAAAGCGACGTGGAATCCTCGCTAAACGGTCTTAACGAACTCCTCAGTCCAGAACTGACAGCCCAACGGAAGCAGCAGGGCCAGGAGGCCGTGAGGGCGCACACCCCTTCCCCGCAGGCCACCCCCTCCCAAGCAAAGCTTCCTGTGGGCTCACCAGGAATCGCCGAGTGGATGGGGCAAGAAGCAAGACTGAGAGTGGAAAGGAGGGGCGAGCCTCCTTACTGAGAAAGTGTGGAAGGAAAGGAATATCCCATTTTGTTTAAATTTTCAACCATCACTCAAATCCACCCCCAGTTAATTAGGAGGGGAAACTGATATCTCAGGCAGAAGGGGGCGGCAAGTGGGGCCTGAAATCCTCATTGTGGGTACATTACAAAGAAAATGGCCTATGCAGAGTGTAAATGAATACATTGATAAAGGCCACTGAGTGAAGGAAAACTGCCCCTGTCAGAAGAGCCAACGCTGGGGGGGGGGGGGGGGGGAAGTAAGGGACTGGTGTTCAGCCTCAACCAGCATCCCTCTTCCACCTCTGCCTTGGATACAGCTGTGCCAGTCACATCTGCTTGGAAACCCATCTCCTTCCCTACCACATACCCCTTCCTAACCCTAGTCCTTTTGGGGGGGGCGGGGGAGGGGAGAAACCACAACCTCCAATTCAGCACCAAATCCCTGAACAGCAGACACTTGATCCTCCACCCCAGCCTAGGGCTGGGTCCCCTCCATCTTTTAGTCAAGTTCAAAATCACTGCCCCGGTAGAAGAGCAGGGGCAAGTGAGATTAAGGACGTGGAAATGGGGGGGGGGGAGGTGGAGGGAGAAGGGGAGAGAAGTACAGAATGAAACAGAGACAGAGATAGAAATGAAGGTAGTGATACACCCAAGAAGAGTAATGATCATAATCATGCCAATAGTGTGATGTTCTGATCAATATGGCGGACACTGTCATTCATACAACTACAGGCGCTCCATTACCCTCCCCCCCCCCCAAAAAAAAAAAAAAAAAAACAACAACACACACACACACACAACCCACCCACCCGGGAGTTGGGGTGGAGGACCCAGAACCAACGTAGGGCGTGGGGGAGGGGAGTCAAATCCAGGTGTGTGTGTGTGTGTGTGTGTGTGCGCGAATCAGAAACCAGGCCTGGAGAGCAATGTGGAATGAGCAAGGTAACACAAATGACAAAAAATTATTAATAAAAGTACAAATCCCAAGACCACAGGGACTTACTTCATCTGCTTCACAATGGTGCTTTTTCCTGATTCTCCAGCCCCTGTTGGGACAGACAGGGGGAAAAACTGGTGAGTGTCACCTTAGGGGAAGTGGGGGGGGGGGCATGGGGGTAAGGCAGGCGAGAGGGTGGACGATCCTAGGCACACAGTGGTGCCAAATCGGGGACCAGGTCTTCCCAGGCACGAATAAGGTGGGAGAGCGGGTGGAGGTGGGTGCGGAGTGGTCGGGGTCGGGAGATGGGGGTGGCAGCCCCGGTCCTTACCCAGCAGGAGTAATTTCACGTCTTTGGCGGCGCTGATGCCATCCTCTTTGAGGTTTTTCTCAATCGCCTTGCTCCGCTCGAGGGCGGCTCTCTCCTCTGCGCTCAGAGTACATCCCATGGTGGCCCCTTCCCTGCCACAGCCCGCACGACTCGGCTGGCACGGCTCCCCGGCTCGGCGCGCCCCCCACCCCCCCAGAAAGCAGAGCCTGGGCTCAAAAGGGGAAAAAAACCACGATATCCTTCCCTTGGCCGAAAACAAAAATGTCGGGAAACCAGAACTCCCCAAAAAGACAGCCGCTAACAAGATTCCAGCGCGGAGGCTCGCGGCAGCTGGCGGGCTCTAGGGGTGTCGAGGCGAAGGTGGCCGGGGTCTGGGACTCCGGGGCCGAGGGAGAAGGCGCCCGCGGTCCAAGGAGGCGCGGGCTGCAGGCACTGAGGCTTGTGCACGACCCAAAATAAATAAAATAATAGTTGAGGCAGAAGCCGCAGCCGGAGCCGGCGGAGGGTGGGGTGGGGGGCAGGGTGGGTCCTTCTGCCGCTGCTGCCGGAGGAGGAGGAGGAGGAGGCGGCGGCGGCGGCGGCGGCGGCGCGGGGTGTGGAGGGAGTGAGTGAGGGGGTGCTGCTAGTGCATGTGCATCGCGGGTCCTCAGCCGACGGTGCGTCCGCGGCGCCTTCGCCGACCCCCGCGCGCAGGGCAGGGCTGGGCAGGGGGCCGGGCCGGGGGGGGGCAGGTCTCTAACGGGAGGCGGCGTCGCTGTCTCCCAAAGCTCGCATCGCTCGGTGGAGGCTACCGGAGAGAGAGGGAGAGCGCGAGGGAGCCGCGGGTAGCGGGAGCTCGAGAGGGAGAGAGAGAGAGAGAGGCTGGAAGGGAGGGGAGAAAAAAATGAAGGGAGAGCCAGCGAGCGCGCGCGCCACAGCCTGGGCGGGGGAAGGGGGCGAGCGCAGCGCGCGAGTGCGCCAGCGGCTCTGCGCACCCCGCACCGCAAGCCGCCCGCTGACGTCAGCAGGGCCGCGCGCCGGGCCCCCGGGACCGGGAGGGGCGGGGGCCGGGGGAGGCGCGCGCGCAGGGGACCGCGTCAGCTGGCGGCGGCGCGCGCGGCGCTGCCTCTCCTCCTTCCAGCGCCCCCCGGCCCGCGGCTCCCCTAAGTGGGCGCGTGCGGGGCCTGGAAGGGGGCGGAGCCTGGGGCCGGGCGCGCGCCGGGGCGTCCCTCCCCGCCTCCGCCCCTGCCCCCTCCCCCGCCTGGCGCGCGGGCGGCGTGGACCTCCTGGTCAATGGGAACGCGGGACTGGGCCGCCGGCGACGCGGTCAGGTGGGCCCCCCCAGCTCGCGCCCCGCGCCGCCTAGTTAGCTCTCCCGCTTCCGCTCCATCTTGGCTCCGGTAGCTTGGCTTCTTGGTTTCTCTCCAGCTGCCGGGGCCGTAGCAGCCGGGACCAAGTGACCTCAGCGAACGCGAGGAGACAGTGCGTCTGAGCAAACCCGCGTTCCCGAGAATTCGCCTGGGGCGTGGGGGCAGATGCGAATTGTCCGCTTCCGCGACCCACGAACATTAACTGAGCACCTAGTATGTGAGACAGGAAGCTGTGAGGAGAGGAACACATCAGGATGAGACAAAGCCAGGGCCTGTTCTCAAGGAGCCTCTTCCTACCCGTGCCGTCCTGGACCCTGCTCCGAGATTCCCGGCCATAGGTATCAGCCCAGCACACAAGTCCCACCCTGGGAAGCTTTCTGGTTGGGAGGGACAGGTTTTCATGAGCTCCTAGCACATGCTTACGCTCTACGCAGAGTTTAAACGCTTTTGCTCATTTTGAACGGTTTAGCTTGGTTGAAATCTTTGCATTGAATTCCCTTGTCCTGCCCCTTCCCCAAAACACAAATACGTAAAATAAATTTTAGATTTTTGGTGAGAGAAGAGATTTTCTCCCTTTTGTCAATTTTTAGAACACTTTCCCCCTCTTCTTTTTTCCAAATGAAGACCCAGAAACCGGGGTCAGTTATTTAAGCATGCAGCTAATCAAATACCGAGGAAACACGTACATGTTTGCCAAAAATCAGGCATGTTCTGGGCGGTCGGTCTCTGAGATTTTGAAAAAACTAGTTCTCACTGCACAAAATGGTTTTACAGTTAGTCCCCGCAGACAGCCCCAGGGGCCCTCCTAGAGAAAGGGGCCAATAGGAGAGGTTGCATGGGGATAGGACAGGCAAGAGGCCAGTGGAAAACGTTTTCTCTAACAGTTGGGCACTTCTGTGACTCTGAAAGCAAACTTGTTTGTTTCATTTCAACAATAGAAAAAAGCATTCCTGTTTTGGGAAATGTTACCCAGCATAAAAATATATTTGCAATGGTGGTTGGGTGGGGGGGAACTAGTTAAGGCCCACCCAGAAGAAAACATTTTTTTCCCTTGAGTTTTTTAATGAGTTATTTGTCTCTTTATATAAATAACTATGTCAAAAGTTGTTGTAATGCAATTACAAATTGTTGTAATGCAATTTGAATATTTAAATTTGAATCATATTTTATGTATTCTAGGAAACCTACAAAGGGCTCCTAAAGAATTTGTTTTATAAAATAAATAACTTCTTTGCTACCTCTCCTGACCCCATCCTCTTTTGGTGTGTCTCTGGGGAGGGGAGCTTAAGGGATAAATCTGGTTTGCTTAAAAATCAGTATGTCACTAAAAATCAGCCTTTAGGATACAAAACAGAGCTTGGGTACCCAACATTCTATAGAATCTATTATTTCCTCTACAGGTTGCTAGGATGATTATGCAGATCTATCTGATAAAGGGAAAAAATTCAGCAACTTCACCCAGCTTCTGCTATCTACACGGCTGCATTGGAAAGACCAAAGAGGTAAGAATATAATCTTTTTTTTGAAGATAATGGGTCAGATCAGTCTTACATCTTAATACTCTTTCACATCAGGTAGTTCTTAAGATGTTAGTCTTGTGGGGAATTGTTAGGAATTTTGGGGGAATGGGTAAATCAAACTATCCTTGCTTTTAGTTATATTTATCCTTTCTCAGTATTACTTTTTTTTTTTTTTTTTTTGGTGTGCGTGTTTTATTTACTCAGTACTTACTAAGCACCTATCTGTCCTGCCCTAGGTAAAGTTCTAGGCACTACAGATGTAGTACTTCAGGTTCGTCTACGTGTTTTCTTTTTCTGGGTCACTTTGCATCTTTATAACTGGACTTCATACAACAACTAATAATAATCCACTTCATCTGTATAGTGCCTTACAGCTCATAGAACACTTTTGTAAAACTTATCTCTTAGGATGTTTCCATGTAAACCTCAGTTAGGCATTGTGCTGTGGGAAATGGCATGGAGGAGTGGAAAGAGCCAGGGTTATGAATGCAGATCAGCCCGGGTATCCATTTTACAGTTGAGAAAACTGAGTCTCTGAAGGGGCGAATAACTCGTTTAAGGTTAGGCCATCATTAAGTAATAAACCAGAGCTCCCTTTATAGGTTTGTGGACTATTTGGGCAATAAAACGTTATATAATAGCCCCAGAACCCACGCATATTTGCCCCCTCAAAGGAAGTGAAGATGACAACATCCCAGTTCGCTGTGAGCTATTAGTAATTAGATAATACTGCAAGTGTTTAATTTGTCCACAATTAATTCCTGTGGGAATGGGGAAATTACAATCCTAACATCAGGAATGATCAAGGTCAGATTCCATTTGCTTTTATTTTGTATGATCCCCAGAATTATGTTTCTCTGATTATTGCTTTTGGCCAAAGAATCTTGCGCATTTATCGAATCCTTAGTCCACTCTCTCCCTTACCCATATACATACACTATTCAGCATATTTTAAGTTTTAAAAGTAGGTAATTAGAATGTTCTATATACTCTCTAAAAGGGGCAACAGTAAAAGCCTATATTAAGTTGCGTTTTTACTACATGCGGCTCCTAATGCTGGAGGACAGGAATTTATGATACCTACAAGACTCCCCAGTCTGACTTATAGAATGCGGGCTCTGATTAGATGAGCTGAATTTCCCTATTTCTTCCCATTTGTGATTACCTTAATTAAATATGCATATATTGATAATCTACTGTGTTTAGTATGTTGATTTAGATTCAAAGCAAAGTTTAGGTAGGTATAAACTTGGATTCTTGAAACCCTAGGACTGTTTTTTTCAAAACCATTCACATAGAATTCGCTGGGGTGCTACTTAAAAATTCAGTTACCTGTCTTACTTCTATGGAGTCAGACTCCTCTGCAATCTGCATTGATAGCCACTCCCCAGATGACTTTTCTGTACAAAAAGTGCTAGATCTTGTACATTATACAGAATCTGTATGTGCCAATTAATTCTGCTAGGAGCTTACTTTTTAAAGTTCAAATATCTCACATGTTTCTGAATGCAACTTTATGTTTACTAGTTTTTTATATTTTTTGCCAAAGGAAAGGATTATAAAAATTGCTCTTCCTGGGGCGCCTGGGTAGGTCAGTGGGTTAAAGCCTCTGCCTTCAGCTCAGGTCATGATCCCAGAGTCCTGGGATCAAGCCCCGCATTGGGCTCTTTGCTCAGCAGGAAGCCTGCTTCCTCCTCTCTCTCTGCCTACTTGTGATCTCTTTCTGTCAAATAAATAAATAAAATCTTTAAAAAAAAAAATCACTCTTCCTTATGAACACCAGTGTTGTGGGAAGAAAATAGGCTAAAACATGTGGTTCATGAACTAAATGAATCCATACTAAATGTCAGGTGAATTAGGCATTTTAGGGAGAATCATAGATCACTAGAGATTTTAAGCTTGTGCACTAAGGGTTTCTATTACGAAATTGGTAACTCACAATTTAACTGAGTGGTCAATATAATTTGGGAAAGTGTCTGGGGTTGGGCTAAGAGATGACTTAGTGTTTTCTGGTGGATATCTGGCATGAATGAAGGAGATGCCTTTTTTTTTTTTTTAATCAAATTTCTGTTTATGTCCCTAGAGGACAGGCCCCCTTATTTAGTCCCTATTCAACACTTTTCTGATATTATTTTGAACACATCTCTCAGACCAACTGGAACAAGGGTTCTCAAATGTTAAATGGTGCTAAGAGTTACCTGGAATGCTTTTAAAAAAATGTGGATTCCTGGGTCCCTCCTCAAACTTTATCAATCAGTAGGTCTGAGATGGGGCCTGGAAATGTTCATTTTTATTTTATTTTATTTTATTTTTTTATTTTTTATTTTTGAAGATTTTTATTTATTTGACAGATAGATCACAAGTAGGCAGAGAGGCAGGCAGAGAGAGAGGGGGAAGCAGGCTCCCCGCTAAGCAGAGAGCCTGATGTGGGGCTCGATCCCAGGACCCTGGG